CAAGTGGCTTTAATGGGAATGCAGGACTTAGTGCTGATCATCAACGCAATGCATCACTTTTTTTTATACCCTCTACAAAATTTTGAGGGAGGATGGTGGCATTAGCCCTGTGGAACAGATCTTGCTTGATTACCTCAATAACACTGGCCCAGTATCTGTCCAGCAGAACCCATTTTGAAATAGTATAAGGTGCACAGCCCTTCACTGATTACAAGCAAGTGTTACAGCAGCCTAGCCATAAAGAAGGAGAGTTACATCATAGTACAAAATACAGTATAAAAGCGTTATTTAACATTCCACACTTAAGATTACTGATGCCTTCAAACAACTGTTTGGATGTTAGCCACTTAAACAAATACATCACTAAGGTAAACAACATAAACATACCAAAACCCTGTATGGTTAAATACAATTTCCATGGTACAAAAATCAAAGCCTGGAGATGTTTGTACAGATTGCTTTTTACACAATGTCTTAAATTGCCAAATATTTACAACATTAAAGAGGAAATACATTGTGATGCAGAGTAAAATTATCTGAAATGATTAATATAAAACCTCAATCTATCTACGTGAGGCACTCCTGAAGCAAGTGGCATTAGCCATGAGGTCCTTTGGTACAAGGCCCATTGCTTGAAGAACCACAGTAGCTGCTGTGGCTTTAGCATGCTTCTTATTAGGGCTGGCAAAGCTGGGCTGGTAAGCGCTTCCATTTATCAATACCTATTCAAGAAAAACATACAATTGGGCTGGTAAGGGCTTCCATTTCTCAATACCTATTCAAGAAAAACATACAATAAGAACAGCATCAAACTTTAATATCTATTAGCTTTGTATCTTTTCACTAAATGCTAGAAAAATAATTTCAAAATATATAACCCCATACTATGCAGTTTGAATTAATCTCAGCCCAGAAGAAGCAAATGATTTGAGAAAACGGACTGCTTAAAAGCAGTTTTCTAAAATTTTTTAAAGCTTGATGAAACTTACAGATTAGTTCCCCACATTCCACTAAGGGTTATCAAGAGTTTATTAGACCAGATTTTGTCCACATCTTTCACTCTGATTTTTTTTTTAATTGTAATAAGATATGCTTCAATGTTTTAAACACCCCACCACTCTGGCCAAACATACATTTACCCACAACACACAGCATACTGTGATTGTATCATGTTTGTCCCCTTCACCCTCTAAACATTAAGTCATCAAATTAAATATACACTATTAGTGCAGAAATTCATATTTACCCTAAAGAGAAAATGTTTGCGGTGATCAGGGCCACTATCATGGACCAAGAGAAATTCAGGTGGTTGCCACCTTCTCTTATTACAGATTTCCATCAAGGCAGATACAGGATGTTTGCCTGCAGGCAAAAAAAAAAAAAAAAAGCTGTAAATTACCACTGCCAAGTTTCACAACAAAAGTGAATTCAGGATACAGGTTGGAAAAGAAGATATTGAAAAACAGTCTCACCTGATAGATCTTTCATTGCAGCAGAGAAGTTCCCAGACCTCTTTTGGGCCCTTTCTCCTACAGCAACAAGCCCTAAAAAAGCCAATGTTCACTAAATCAGTACCAAAAGCATCATTTTAAATGTAAAAGAACAAAAATACCCACTGTAGAAGCCTGACTCATAATCTATGCCTTCAATATTAAAAGGCTGACATAATGGATTTATCAATGTTCTCATTTACCACTCCAATGTTCTTTGCTATTAAAGTTGCATTAAAATATATCTACAAAGTGTAAGAATGTAGTATGAATAGGTGTGCTAATCAAGTGTCATATACTTATAAACATCTCCAGGCTTGCTTCTTTAAGCTGAAGAAGTAGTGGCTACTGATTGCAACTTTTAAACAATTGATGCTTGTTTATATTTTTATAATTTTAAGGAGAAAAGTTGGGTTGGTTTTGTTTTGTTGGGTGGTACCTCTCCATGAACTTATTACGAAGGGAAGTAACAAAACAAATACAGGAAATTTTTCAATCACTCCTTTGCTGATCACATGCTAGTATATTAATCTTACCCAATCCTATCTGACCAGTGTGCTTATCAGAAATTATACCCAAGTTAAGCTGCAAAATCCTTAATACCCAGAATTATGCAGCACACATTTTGCACACACCTAGCCTGTTAACTGTACTAATTTGACTTCTATGAACTCAACTGTTTTAATTCCAAAAATGATACTGATTTCCTAATTTTAAAAACTGGGCCTAAACAATCTATTCAAACAAGCAGCCACTTGTGATTCCAATTATACTGTTACTTAAAGGAACCAAGGGGGCCAGGGAGATGGCTCAGTAGAATAAGTGCTTCCCTAGGCAAGCACAAGGGTCTGAGTTCAATCCCCAGTTCCACCAAAAATTAAAAAAATAAAGGAACCAAGGTACCAAGTATATTAACACTCAGCTACACAAAGAGTACACAGATCTTGTCTCAAACCCTGGTATCTGAAGATAATAGTATAATAGTGGTAACAGTTTCAAGGTGCTCCAAGATAAATATAAAGAGGTAAAAAGCATTTGGTCTACTACTCTTCAACCTTAATATTCCCACTCGCATGAAAAGGACAAAAAGGACTTATGAAGTAAAGATGAATTGGCACGCTAAAAACTACCTACACTTTCAGAGAAAGAAAAACAAATCTTAGAAATAGAATCAACCATAACGTCCCTGAACCTGTCAAGAGAAAACAAGATAGGATCCCAAGTGAAATCTAAGTTTGCAGTCAAAATTAGCTAAGTGAAAAATTTCCATATATGCCAGCTCCCTGCCTTTGAAAAGCTCTAGCATCTCCAGCTGTAAAAAAATAAACTCCTATGAAAAGCGTTGGGGTATAATAAACATTTCAAAGAACTTGTTACCTTTTCGGTCTGTCTTAAAATCAACTAGGATAGGTTCTTTATTTCCTTCTTTGTTTTTTCCTAATCCTTCTCCTTCTCTCCAGCCCATTTTTCTCATCAAAACGGCTCCCATTCCTCCAGTTACTGGGGCTGCTCTTAAGAACTGATCCTATCCAAAGAAAGAAAGGTAAAATGTCCCCATTTTACAGTTAGAACTTGACTACAGACTCACTGGTAACTTTGTAAAAAGAGAAATCTCATTTTACTTCTACATCTGTTATCACAAGTTTGAATGCTTCTATGTACTTAACACTGGAGTATATATATATATGCTCTAGTTATTTTCACATTAACAATAGTATTTTAGTAAGTCAAACCAGTCCCTCATTTCCCCACCCAACCCCCCCCCCAAAAAAAAAAAAATAGAACACTCCTGTTTTCGTCCACTATTTAGGTTCACTGGTATCTCTTCTTAGCTTGCAAAATAAAAAGAAGGCATTGTTAAAAGTCAATAATATTAATTGTCCCAGGTGTACCTAGTTTATGAATAAAGCCCAGAAATCATTTAGAAAGCTTGGACACTGAAGAAGCATACTGTTGCCATCCAAAGTTTTCTTCCCCATTCTACTATAAGGCAAGTAATAAATATTTTTACTTAGAAAATCCCTATGACAAACTCTTTAAAATTGCACTGTAATAAACTGAAGGTAATCACACAAAATACCCTGGTAAGTATACCAAAATGAACTGGAACTCTTTAAAACCTAGCTTGATGTTAAAAGACTTTTAAAAAACTCCTTAAACGTTTACATACCTAGGCCTCGGTAGCAGCAGTGTTGTGACTAGTACGGCTGGCACTGACCGGGGCAAGAAGACAGCTACAAGGATTTGGCCCTGAAACAAGTTTCCATACAGAGGGGTGAAAGTTCACAGGTTATTCTGTGAACAATCATCTCTCTCGTATCCAACCCACTGAACCATAATTTCCATCAAAGCAGCAAACCACTTAATGTCATAAGATGCACAACTATATACATTAGCATGGTCAACAGTCTATTATTTTCACATTTAAAAGTATTAAATGCCTCATTTTAATGGGCATCCACATATATACAACTGCTCAACTCTATCTGTTGATCTGTAAGGCCATTTTTTAAAAAATATTTGAAACGCATCCCCAAAAATCTTATTTCACCTTGTTGGTAAATTTTAATGTTCTGTAGCAGACATATAGCAAAGGCAATTAACTTATCAACAAAGGTAATCAAAACTATTGACAGCTGAGGAAATAGAATACTGTTATTTCCTTCACTGATAAGTTAATGTTTTAAAAAATCACTTTTATACAGTCATAAAACTGTAATCTTTGTTTCCCAGCTTTAGAATTAAATACTGGGGGAGAAAACATGCCAATGATTTGTGACTTGACATTAAGTTCAACAAGGTGCTCTGATGGAAGGAGGCAGCTGTGGAGGTAAAAACATACCCCTGGTTCAGTTCCTTATTTGGTGCAGGCCATGCAGTGTAGATGTATAAAGAGAAAAGTTAGCTGATGCTTGGATATCAACTGCCTTGATGCTACACACCTAGAATGACTTTTACTTACTTCCAGGTTCATCTGCCCCTCTTTTCCAGGAAACAATCCTAAAAAAAAGGGCAACTGTGCAGACAGGGTACAATATAAATCCCCAAAGAACCCATGTTTTCAGTTGTTTGTTCTCTTAATAACTTCACCTATTTTACCCAGTGTGTATGCAACAGAAAAGCTGATTAATCCAATGAGACCCAAATAATACACTATTTACCATTATGTCCAAATAATTTCACTCTAGAAAACAAAAACTCCCTTATGAAGCATTTAAAATGTTTTACTTATTACGGACCAAACTTACTTTTTAACCTAAAAGTACAATACAAAAATATCAAAAAAGAACATATATAATGTTGGGGTTCCTTTTAACTAGTGTTGGGCTACGCTAAACCAAGAAGAGATAAATGAGCATTTGAGCAAGTATCTACAGTACACTTAATGTTTAGTATCTCCATTAGAATTAAATTTTCACTGATTTTCAATTTGCCCAATGACTTCTAAATGTTCTGGTCCATTTTTATAAAATGTTCTTTCCTAAATATTAAGCAAAAATTCTGTTTTTTCTATAATTTAAAGCATGGGCTGATGAACACATCATCATAGTATTGATCAAAATGACTTACTTCCTAATATAAATTTTACATAAAATGTTAAGAATAAAACTATTTAATGATTGCACGACACACTATTTAAGTATCTATAAGCTGCTTCCCAAGACTGGTAATAACTGTGAAGCCAATTCAATCAGGGAAGAGATTCACTTTGTAAAAGTTATAACAGGATGCTATTCACACAATAAACATTAGGGAGAGCACATTGTTACACAAGTAAAATTTTGCAATGGAAACAGAATATATGGGCTGTTAAGTGTGGCTTTTGTTAAACACTATAAGCTTCCTGTCTAACTGAACTCAGATTCAAAACTAGTGTTAAGGAATCAGGGTTTGAGGTATAACTCAGTAGTAGACCCCACACTTAGCATGCATAAAGCCTGGTGTTCGTTTCCCTGTACCAAGGAGAGAAAAATGTTCATTTATAATTGTTCCCAGTAAGATGAAAGCTGCTTCTGAAATACAGTACTACACGAATTAATTTTAACTAAATAAAAATATCAACACCCTTAATAACTAAGTTTTAATTTTTTGTTGACTATGACCATGTACTCACTGTACACATATTAGTATAACTTGTCAAGACACAGGCAAAATGAGGATATGTGTCTTATTAACTTGTCAGAGGATCAACAGATATTATCAAAACTGAAATGTTATCACATTAAATGTCTGAAGCAACCAGTATCATTTTCCAGAAACTCATTCATGAATGGCACTTATCCCAGTTATCTAAAAGATACTCATCACATTGATTACCACTCTGAGGCAATAAGAACCTGTCTCCACTTGACACTTGGGAGTCTTTGAAATTCCAAATTACTTGCCCATGATCACACAAGGAGTCAGGAGTACAGCAGGATAAAGAAACTTTCCCAATCCATTAGACCACGTAGCCTCCCAGTTTCAGTACTGCTGTGTTGCCAGTACTCCTGAAACAAATACCCCATCACCCATCCAACCCACCCACATCCCTTCACCAGAACGCTTTTCTTCAGCAAGCCCTTCTTCACCACCTAAGGCTCCCCCAATAATGAGGCAGCTGTAGGTAGAGTTCACATTTCACTGCAGGAATCTGAGACCAGGTGCACCTACATCTTCACAGCACGAAGTGTCCATCCTCTCCCTTGATTTATATATCCTGTTTTTTCACGAAATCAGTGGTTCTCAAATTGATTCTGTGGATCACCAAAGGCCACCAGGGCCTACATGGTGGTCCACAGATAGTAACTTCCATTCCCTCCCCAGTCCCTTTGCCACCCTTCAGCACTGCCCACCCCACATCCCAGCCATCCTCCCCCAGTTTTCCACTCCCATGGCAAGTTCAACACATGCAGTGCTAACACTAGGGCCTCCCAACCACACGCCGTAATCAACAGCAGACCACCATATAGGAACCTGGGGCTGGAAGTCACAAGAGGCATGAGGAGTACAGGAGCCAAGGGATCTTAGAGGAGGGTGCAGGCACTACTGAGAGGACAAAGACAGGAATAGAGGAATGGAACATTAGGGTGATAGAGGGATTGTGGGGCAGTGATCCACCAAAAATAAACCTGTAATAAAGTATCCCATGATGAAGAAAATTTGAGAACCACTGGTTTGAAATGATTAGGTTAGTCCAACAGGAACTGTGGAATATTCAGAACAGCACCTGACATAGCATTCAAAACAGTTAAATAAAACCACCCCCACCAAAACCAGTACTAACAACCAAGAATAAATAAAAATAACCTTAGAATATAAACTGAGTGGCTCTCTCTCGAGCCTTATTTATACATATGCCACTGTCTCATGATTCCAATCCATCTTCAGTGTCCATCCTGGAGCATATACACACAGCAAATTCAGCAACTTTTGGTTAGAGTCATGGGCCTCTTCATGCATTTTTTATAAAATATTTTTCCAAAAAATTTTAATGATGTACTTTCACACTTTCCTATGTGCACATATTGTGTACCTTTTTAATCCAGGCTTGAGCACCAGTATTGGCGAGCTGTTCTTGTGTCAGAACTTGTACTCCTGTACTTCCTGTGAACTGGCCAGGAATGGAGTTCAGCTGAGCCCAGGCATCAATCTGAAAAAAAGAAGCTGCCTTAACTAAGGAAAACACATCTGATTAAAATGTCACCAATTTTTTTTAGTCACTGATAACAATATAGAAAATAATATAGAAAAATGGTTCCATTCTTGCAAGGGTTGAATAACTGACTTCAGTATTAAACTTTATGAAATTCATGCTAAAAAAAACTCCAGGAATAAAAATTTGGAGAACACATTATGCTCCATTCTTATGAGCACTCCAAATAGGATCAGTAAGCGTTGAATGGTTAATTTAAAACTATGGTTTTTTCTAAACTTCCCAAAAGTCTCAGTTCCAATAATATCAAGAGATGAGGTATTATTTACAAAGTATCACAGAGATGCATGAAAAACAAAGAGACGTGGGTAAAGGATCCTTTTTTAAATCTTTCTGAGATATGGATTCACTATGCACAAGGCCACTAGCTGGCCTTGAACTCAGTAAACCTCCTGCCTCAGCCTTAACTGCTGGGATAGATGATGTGCACCACCACACCTAGCTGGGAGTGAAAATTCTTATTTGCACATTAAAACTGCCACATACCCGTTCTTGAGCACGATTTAACATGCTCATAGCTTCAAGATCAAATGCATTCTCACTGAGTCTTTTCTGAGCAAGTGCACGTTCACTCATTGCAGTAGAGATGTCCACAGGCTAAAAAGAAAACATAGATAATTATCTTAAATTACCACAGCCCCCTAAATTCTAAAGTGCACCTATCTTTAGTTGTTATATGTAAGAAACTCTTACATACTAATAAGCTTATAAAACAGAAGACTAAAAAAACTTTGGAAAGTAGAGGATTAAGTTATGTCATGAAATATCAGAGGTAGTATAACCCAGTCCAAACTGATTTCATTGGATTTTGTACAATACCCAGTCATAATCATGTAGTTTCACTAAGAACTTAAAACTTTAAGTCTTCATGAACAAGTCATTTACTATAGTGAGATCTTTTGCACTACTGCAAATTATATATCTTTTAGTTTTCATGTTAACCTATTACTATAACCTCCAAAAACAATAAGCAAAGATCCTGTTATTTTCTGCAATACGCCTGTAAATTCATCATTCTAGTAGAAAACCGTGTCAATAATCACTCATCAGCACATCTTTGACCTTCTCAAGTTAAACATGGACATAGTTTGGTTGGAAGAACCTAATTTCTTCAGAGACTATATAAAGCATGTAAGTAAAACTTGTTTTCAATTTATATACATTTATTAAAATTATGCGGATGTCCCTAACATCTTCTTAGGCAGGCTTAAATAAGACACTTTAAAATCTTAGGTTTCTACCTTTTAAAACCTTATGCTAGAATTAGGGATGTAGCTCAGTGGTACAGCAATAGCCTAGCATGCTCAAAACCCAGGTCTGTTCCTTGCCAATGAAGGAGGGGAAAATCTTTAATAAGAAAATATTACTTCAACTCTAAAAGAAGTAATCCTTACATTGTCAATTTATCAGATCTGTGAAAGGCCTAATCACAGGGGGAAAAAAAAAAGTCTATAAAATTTTTGGGTTTCTGTCTAAATTAGGAGCACTTTTATCTGTATAAATTCCGATTTTTTTTTTGGTATCATTTAACCCCTTAATATTTTCTAGTTATTTCTCACAGGAAAGTTTATGTAAATTATTTATCCAACATAGTTTTTGCTGTTTAACAGAATGATTAGTAGGTATTTACAAGGAACTCAACTAGTTAAATATTTTTTAAAAAATAGAAGTTAGCTGCAAATAACACTATTGTATAAGCTATCCTCTTAAAAATGATTATATAGCACAGGATACATGACAGAATAATTATGTATTATGCATAAGGATTTGTGGAATTCTCTTCCTACCTTCAGACTTTTATTCACAGTTATTCTTATCTTGCTGAATCACCTGATTGATTCCTTTAAACCAAATTTCCCAAATTTTCATGTCTTCTTAAAATGAAAATGAACTGAATTATCTACTTATACTTTATAGATCTCTTGAAAAGATTTTTCTTACACTAAATTATCCGTACAAATTAAAACTGTAAGAGTACTATAAGGACTACAAGAAAGATTTAAGCAAAGTCGGACTACAACACTGGAAAAAGGTAATTATGTGCATACACACTTCGACTACTTTAAGTGATTTTATCACAATTCAAATCTCTTCTGAGAATCCTGGGACTTAAAATGGGAATTTCAGGCTAAAACCGATGTCACCTAGGCCTACCTCAGATGTTCCCCAAAACTGTCAAATGCTATTAATCAAGGTAATTTCTGAAGGCCCACAAATTGAAAAAAGTAGTTTTGTTTCATGACCTTCCCAGACTTACCCTGATTTTCATAAGCATACTATCAGTGTCGATGTCAGGATGCTTATGCTGTTGTTCTGGAAAGGCTAAACTAAAAATACTGGAAAAAAACATATCTACTCAAAACAATCCTAACCCCTGACCCCTGATCTCCAACAATAAATTAGCTATTAAAATGTACTTAGATGATTCTATAAACTTTTCTAAAATACACCTGTGAATTCATCCTTTTCGAATTGTTAGATTTTTGAACTTTGTCTTTTTTTATCCTGAACAGATATCCTAAATATTTCATTTATCCTCAGACTGAAGCTTCCTTCATATCTCAGTAATTTTTCATATTAATTCACATCTAACTTTGAATTACTTTAACTTTGATAAAATTACAACTGTATCTTACTCAAAAGAATAACTTTTTTTTTTTATGGTAGTACCAGGGATCAAACTCAGGACCTTGCACTTGCCAGGAAAGCACTTGAATTCCACTGAGCTATCTCCCTGGCCCGAGTAAAATGAGTCTGCTCATTTCTCAGCAGACTTACCAAATAACCTGCAAGTTTGTATCAAAAATTTATTTCCAAATAATGACTTGTAAACTCGTATTATTAAATGTGAAAAAAAATTCAACAAGGAGCAAATCAAGATTAACTTCTTTAAACATCAAGAGTTTACATTTCAAAAAGCCTGTTTTACAGCTTTTCAAGGTAATTCAGGCTATGCAATAATGCATTTAAAAATAATATTCTCCAAAGCACTAGTGAATTAAAGAGTCATAGCAGACATTATGTATCAGTTTGAAAACATTAAAAGTACTACAAGTATCATCTAAAACAATACTCTCAATAAAACTTTCTGTAGTGACTAGCTTCTGAGCACTGGAAATGTGGCCAGTGATTAAGAAACTAAATTTGTAGTGCCTGGTAACTACTATGCTGGAAAATGGTGATTTAGAAGCCTGACATTCCTTTAATACTATTTCAAAAGCAGGTCATATGGGGAAGGTACCAAAAAGATGCTAAAAGCTTTCTAACAAATCGAGAAACAAGAGAATAGCAAATTTTTGTTTAATCAACGCGCCTTACATGTTTCTACTGATGGAAACTACTAAAGTTATTTGATCTTTCCATCTTGGCAACAATAGTGAAAACTACTTCTATAATCTACCTGGGCTCTCAGATATAATGAAATATACAATAAACTCAGCACATGTTAACATGCATTTCATGGCCTATATTGTGTATGTTTACCTTTTATACCTTCCTCATATTTTCTTTTTTCTGTATTTTAGGGAAGAGTCTACAGGGTGTCAGGGTCCCACTATTAGATCAGACACAGTGATCCTCCTGTGCTGGGATTACAGGCATGCACCACCATGCCTAGTCTCTCTTCTTTTTTTTTTTCCTGGCAGAACCAGAGATTGAACTCAGGACCCTGTGCTTGCCAGGCAAGTGCTTATTCCACTGAGCCATTTCCCCAGCCCCATGCCCAGTCTCAATTGCTGTCTCAGTGTGCCCCAGGGCAAGCCCAGCACGGCAGGCCCAGGGATTAAACCCCAGGCCCCTGCACCTGCTTGCAGGCACTTTAATCTGCTGAGCTATTTGGCCGGCCGTAACCAGGTTTTTCTCATTTTAAAAACCCTCCTAAATCAACTTACTCTCATTTTGCTAACCTAACTTTTTACATAAATAGAATAAGCACGTTAAGACTTTGTAGGATGTCAGTGTAAGAATATTAAAAGAAAACTGAAGTTTTAATACATGTATGTAAAATTAAAGAAAGTATCAAAGGAAATTTTCAGTAAAATAAAGAAATCTGGTCTATAAAACATTTAAAGTACATAGCAAAAACTTATTTAAAAATCCAAGTCCATATGTAAAAGTAAAGTTTCAAAAAGGCACCACGTACACAATATTCCAGTTATATACTTAATTGGCCTTGTAAAATACTTATTGTATCATTCACAATTATCTAGTGTAAATCCTAATCAGACTAGTCTAACTGTGAGGGAAACAGACTGCTTATTTTAAATGCCTTAAAGAGATACAGTATTAACCACCTAGAACAATATAGGTAGAGAATAACAAAGCCATACATTACACACCCTAGCACTGCATTTAATTTTCAATTAAAATGTTTGTTATTCCAATTAATCTTGCTTTCCTAAACTCTGTACAGTTTCTCAACTTAAAATAATTTTAGTATCAGAGGTAAAAAGATATTTCACTAATACAAATCTAGTACTGAGATAAAGATGACCTGCACATCTAAGCAATCACTTGAGCTGACCCTCTGAACATCTGCTACTAAAACTCACAAAAACTTCGCACTGATGGTTCCAAATACAGTTACTACTCCATTTATGACAAAGAGAACATTTAAATCTACTAATAAGCCTTATTACCAAGAATAACCCAAGGATTATTTTCTAAAAATAAACTAGCTTGCCAAATTTTATTTTAGTGTTTATAAATCAACTATCAAAGTAATTAAACTTCTGTAATCACTCCTTACAGAGGATGACTGGCTGATTTCTGGATAGGAAGACGATGTTATGGCAGAAGGACACAGAGTCCGATGAGTTGTTTTCCCATAAAATATGGATTTATGCTAATTCATCCACAATCTCTATCCACTCATGACAAAGTGCCAAGGTAACTGATGGCATCAGGGATTACAGCAAAGATGATTCGGCCCTTGTGGAGATAAAACCTGAAATCTCTGCCTAGATATTTTACAGTCAAAACTAAAAAACACAAATTCCATTTAATTTTAAATTTATATATTAAAAAATACAAAGTTAAAAAATTGACCATTTAAAAGAACTTTACTTTTAATGTAGAGAACTTTTATTTCAACCCCTAATGTAATCAGAATCAATGCACCCATGAAATATCAAAATATTTCACACACATTGGTATATAGAATATTAATTTTACAAATTTAATAAACTTAGATGGTAGTAAGGAATTCGAGTTAAACATTTTATGTTATACTTTCTCTAGGTGTGTTAACATTATTGCTATGTAAAAGTACAGATCTGAAAGCAAATCACAATCGTGTCCCTTTTTCCTAAAATTTTCGTATTCTTTTGTTTAGAACTGAAGTTAACCAATATATTCTCTAAGAGCTTAGAATTCCATTATCAAATAATATTTGTCTTCCAGAAAGATCCCTCTTCTGTTTCCTTCATTTAGTCCTTGGAATACCTCTTTTTTTGTCTTAATAGGTTTCTTTTTATATCAACAGTAATTCCCTTAAAACTTTTCATTAAAATCTGACAACCACGTTTGAGAAAGGAAGCTAAGTGTCAGTTTTAAAACTAAAAAACATATGAGTATTAAACTTTAAATACACAAACACATTCTCTTCATCCAAAAACAAGTGCGGTCAGGATTTAGTAAACATTTTACCCAGATTCAATGGAAGGAAGTCAAGAGTTTTCTTCTCAGGAAACTCTTAGAATTCTGCAATATTAGGTCTTCGCCTCATTGGCAAATTACTCTCTCAAAGAACCTTCCTAGCTATGTTTATTTAATCAGCAATAAAGTAGTAACTTATAGCATATCAAGATTTCTAATAAGTCTATATAACTTTCTTACCATGGTTTATTTATAACCAGCTACAAGAAAATTAAATCATCTGCAAATGTTTATTAACCCTTCCCTTTTGACATATGCAACTAGCCTGATTTGGGGATTTAACAAGAGAGCTACTCAGTTGGTTCACTAAAATACTGTCCAAACCAGCTGCCCTTCACCTCACTGGTGATGGTATAACTTGCTTCAACTGTTGAATTCCATGTGAACACACACCAACATATTGGACTCTAAGTTGTGCTGGCTAGTTATGTTCAGTTTCACTGTATAGAAAGTGTTTCCTTTTCAAAATGCCACCAATGAAAAAACAAAACAGAAAACCACAGTGTAAATGTCACCTGTGAATAGCTTCGGGAAGAAAGTGCTGCTGTAAGTTTCTGATTTGGGTTCTGTTTACTTTCTGATTTTATAGCCAGGACTTATTTGCAGAACTGTTAAGTGTTTAAAGATGATGATATGGCCAATGTAGGGAACCTCAGTGAAGTTTCTCAGACTTACATCCTATAACTCCAAGAAAAAGAAGCCCATAAGGGCATTAGATACCTAGTCCAATCCTTGGGCGAATGTTAAGGTTTTGGAAAGCAAGGGCTAGAGGTGATGACAACTGTCTATGGTACGATTTGAAACTCCCCCCTCCCCTAATTAGGTCTCCACCCTCCCCAATCCCCAAGCGTGACTTTGCACAACAAGTTAAATAAAAGTAAACTGTTTATTAAAAGATACAGCAAAGGTACAGATACAGAGATACATACAAAGATACAGATATATATATATATATATTTACATATATATACAGTCTTGCTGTTTTCATGTGCACTATATTTAGCAGCACATTATCAGGCGGCATTTTAATGGGGTTGTTTTGACACTTGGCATTGTTAACTGCGTCATTTTGACAAGATACAACTATAGCCTTGTGGAAATTTCAACGCATGATTTCCACTTCTCCAATTTTTAATAGTAGCAAAATGGATAAGGAGAAGGGAATGGAATACCAAGGCTGAACACTAGGTTAAACACAAGAATTCAAAAGGGCCAAGGTAGCACAGAAAATAAAACAATTAAAATTAAAGGCTATCTGACAAACAACCCAGAGAAATGATAAACCATCAGTTAAGGGCAATGGCTATGTACCCAAGATGTTCACATCAACCTACAATGACCTTTGACCTTTTCCAATCCAGTTCTTGTGTTGAACCTGAGGATCTGCCTCTCTCCACACAAGACCTCCACCCAAAAAATTTGCTACCACCAAAATCTAGAGCTATAGAGCCTTGAAGCAAAACGAGAAGCTAAATAGTTGTACCTTGGGCTACCTTCCCACAAATGCATGGAGGGCCCAATGTTGGGTAGGGATGTGATAACACTTTTCTCTGCAATTCGATGCTTTTCACTTTGTGGTTTGTTCCCACAAAGTGAATTGCATCGAGTTACTGTGAAATGAGAAGCTGCGGGTTGTTTCATCTGTCGTTTAACCCGGCCCTGCCGTTTAACCCGGCCCTAAGAAGAGTGAAACAGAATCCAAATCAGATATAAAGTAACAACAAAATGGCAGATTCAGGTATTAAAAAGGAAAAACTACAAAATATTTTTACTTACCTCCGAAGGCAAATTGCTGCTGAAGACGTTATCATCATCTTTGTTTTCTTCACCATTTTTCTCTACAGGAACCCACTCTCCATAAACACTGTCTGCTTCTTTCTTTCGATGCTGAGATCCAGATGACACAGGAAATTCTTTTGTCAATGTTACCTGGCTTTTTGGTGGAGTTGGCTTTGCTGCAGCAATCTTAAAAAAGTAAAAAATAAAAAGTTTAAGTAAAATTCAATATAACAGATATCAATATTAAGCAGACATCATTTTATTATCTCATCATTTAAACCAAAACTTAAAATTCCACTAGACTTAAGTCATTGATTTGTTCTATTTCATCATATGCGCTAATGATCCATTTCACGTAAAGACTATTATTTCATATAATCACCAATACTCACATTTAGATTGAAAAAAATGGGCTTGGGTTCACTGAGTTTAAAGGGATGATGATAAAAAGGAGGTTCTTCTTCCTCTTCATCCGAAACATGAGGTTTATTCACTATTACATCATCGTCTTCTTTACTCTGTGCAATCTGTTTGCATTTCTTTAAAAGTAAAAACAAAAGATAAACCTTATAGTTTATATTGAGTAACAGGGAACTTGTGTACATAAAATCACCTTTCAAAAGTAATCAAAATCATTGTTAGCTTATTAGCTATTACTTAAACACACTGGTCAGTCGGTCAACAACATTTATTGAGCACCTACTATGTGCAGAGCACTGTACTGGGCACTGTCTGGGGAATAAAAAAACAAAACAAAAAAAAAAAGAAAAAAGAAAAAAAAATCATGGTCCCTGCTCAAGGAGCTTACAATCTAAGACAAGAATACATACACATAAAATAATTGAAAAATGTTTTTACAGAGCAACACAATAACAAGTGCAAACTGATATATTACAAATTGGGTGTTTAAGTGCTAAAAGAACAAAAAATTAAAAGAATACAGTCAGGCAGGGCTTGAGAATCAAAGACTAGTCCTTGAAGAATTCTAAGCCATATTTTTCATAGTGAAAAATAAGAACTGGTAGGGAAAAAAAAATCTGAAAAAAGAAAATCATCTGGCAGATGGTGGTAAAAAAGCAAAGGAAAGCTTGTTAAAATGAACAAGAGGACTGAAGATGAGGCTAAAAACAAATATCAAGTATTCATAGGGTTTTAAATAATGAACTTGGGTTTTGTTAAATAATTCAACAGACGCTTTTGCTAGGTCCTTTTTTAAAATTGCAGAGTAAGTATAAATGAGGAAACATTTTTAAAATTTTTAATCCCCAATGAATGGCAAAAATCTGAAACATCTATGACAGCATCATTTACTCCACAAATGTTCCACAGGTTGAGTCTCTTAAGGGATAGAACCTAGGCCAGAGATACAGCTCAGTGGCACAAGCGCCTGCCTGGTAAGTGCCACGTCAAGTTCTTCAAGTCCCAGGCCAAAAACAAAAACAAGAATAAAACTTAGAAATGGAAAATAAGGCATGATGGAAAGGGTGCAATTGATGCAGCCTGACACAAACTAAAGTCAATTCCTTCCTGAGTAGCAAAGGAATCGACTCTTATTACTGGACTTTATAAAAAGTTCAGAGTAAATTTGGGGAGGACTCGTCTCTATATAAGCAAAAGTCATCACATCTACTATCAATTGAAAATATTACAATAGAATAAAAAGCTCAATTAGCCAAAAACACAGAATATACCAAGCATGTAACCAAGAGAAAACACAACATACTGACAGTGGCAGGCTGGCATAAGGCTAGCCAAGAACAAGTTTCAATATATGAAACAATGTATTTCTGGATCCTAGCAGCAATATTTCAGCATCCCCCAACATAATAAAACAAAGCCTCCCCAAAAAAGCCTCCATTGAAAAGATCCACTTTTTTAAAAACAAAAATAAAGTGTATTTAAAATATATGCACTGCCAAAACCCGAATCGCAGGAAGAACTGATAATGGCCGGCCATTATCGCCAATGGCTGGTACCAAACAGCCAAAACCCGAAATGTTGATGCGAAAGAAGTTCCTTTCAGGCAATGGCCAGCTATTGTCAATAATTTCCAAGCTCCGGTGGCAAAAGATCATTTCTGAAGATTGTCTGTGTCTTTGCGTATATGCAGTACACTCGTGGCGATCAGTGAACACGTCGTGAATGGAAACGAAACTGTAGGCGAGCTTCTGCGTGTTGCTCACTCAACACCTCCTCCATTCAAACGAACGGTCCCACTCCTCAGTCAGTTTGGCTTCTAAAACTGGAAAGCAAAAGTAATGGGAAGTAACTTTTAGCTAGCGGAGCTTAGCCATCCCGGATAATGGCCTGCTAAACAGAGCTTCTGCCGCTGCCACATCTGTATTTCGGGTTTTGGCCACTCGGTGCCAGCCATTATCAGTTCAGCCCACAATTCGGGTTTTGGCACGCTCCAGAGTCAACATCCCTGGAATAATCCACTTAACAATGACAACGAATTCTATCCAGCTTACCTCAGTTAGTTCTTCTATAGTAGCTCCTCCTGATTTTTTAGCAACTTTCTCTTCTATTGTAGGTGGAGGTGCAGGCTTTAGGTTTGGCGGTAAGGGAACACCAGCCTTAGCACACATGGCAGCTGCATTAGCTTTGGCTATTTCAAGTAACTGTGCCTTATCTGTGAAAGGAAAAAAGAAGTAGTTCTCCTAAACGCTATTATTATTAAGTTTCATATCTTAAAAACATTCAAGGCATCAATTTTCTGCCCTACAATATGGCTGTAATCAAACCCCTTTCTGGTTCACTTTTCACGTGGTGGTTCTTAAAGAACTGAGTTTCCATTAAAATATTACATAAAAGTTAACATTTATAAAACTGTGATGATCATACAGCCACACAAGATTCTAACAAACAAACCTACCAAAGCCAATTTCCAAAAATATGATGACCTTAAAGATGCTCTCTTAACTCTGACAATTTAAATCACTTGAGGCCAAGTTGCATCTCTTCTAGCAAGTTCTTTTGTTTTTTTTTTTTGTTTTTTGTTTTTTTTTTTAATTGTGTGTGTGGCCAGCACAGCCCACCAGAGGGGGGGGCTGGCTGGCATGTGGTGCTGGGGGATTGAACTGCGGTCCCTTTGTTTTTGCTAAGCTTGTTCTAAGTAGGTGCTTTAGACCACTGAGCCATCTCACCAGCCCCTCTAGCAAGTTCTTGTTAAGCTAGAATTAACATTCCTCACCATTGTGTTCCTTAAGTGCTTCATCTATACCAGCACTATAGGCATTATCATATTCTACCCTTTTTGGCTGTTTTCTCTCTTTTTTTTGGCAGAACTGGGGATTGAACTCAGGCCCTACTGAGCTACCTCCCGTCTTCTCATTTGGTTAAAACACCATATACATTTTTATACACATCTGCTTCACAAACTTGTAATCAATTTTTGGGTATTGCACAGTTCCCCTCCACATGCAATATGCACACTACTACTCATCTCTGCATACTACTTTTAAATCAGGAAAAATTAGAACATTTAAGACATGCTTCCTTATTAAACTTACTTGCAACAATGTATGTTGGAATATACATAACTGCACATACCCTATCTGTTTTTCACTTAACAGGACTTTTCGACCCGTTTCTACTTTCTATTTTTGGTTAAAGACAAGTCAATAAAATAAGACATTCAAATATGAAAACATTTTGCATCTAACATACTCCAAAGCAGGTCTTTCAATATAATTATGACTTATGCCTATCCCTATGGGCTCTTCCCATCTTCTAGTTATCCCTGGAGCTTGATCTAAACACAGTCTCACCCATTGAACTACCAAAAAAATATTCCATTTGATTCACAATCAGAAAAACATAAACTCATTTTCCACTGTAAAATTTTCAACTCACCCAAATCTGTCAGACGTTCTCTTTCAGAAGACCTGGATCTTTTACGTCGGATGGGAGATCTACTAAACCTTCTTCTTAAGGGTGTTCTTGACCGCCTTAATCTGACTGGAGATATACTGAAGCTTCGCCTTCTTACTACAGACCTTGATCTCCTCCGACGGCTGGGGGTGCGGCTCCTTCGACTGGGGGTGCGGCTCCTTCGGCTGGGGGTGCGACTCCTCCGGCTGGGGGTGCGGCTCCTCCGGCTGGGGGTGCGGCTCCTTCGGCTGGGGGTGCGGCTCCTTCGGCTGGGGGTGCGACTCCTCCGGCTGGGGGTGCGGCTCCTCCGGCTGGGGGTGCGGCTCCTCCGGCTGGGGGTGCGGCTCCTCCGGCTAGGGGAAATGCTAAAACTCCTCCTTCTACCCACAGACCTAGACCTTCTTCTCCGACTCGGAGTGTGACTCCTACTCCGACGACTTGGGGTTCGACTTCGGGCTCTTCCTGTCTTTCGGTTATCCCTGGAGCTTGATCTTTTTCTTTTCCTTTCCCGGGACTTGGATCTGTGCTTTGGAGATCTTTTGCGCTTCTCTTTTGATGCAGATCTTCTTCCTCTAGACTTTGATCTTGACCTGCTGCTCCTTCTCCTTCGTCTTGAACGTGACCGTGAACGGGTTTGAGATCGATGAGACTTGGACTTAGAAGACCTCTTCCTTGCCCTAGAACGAGACTCACTGGTTCGCTTACGCGACTTGTGTTCAGAAGATTTGGAACGCTTACTCCGAGATCTTAATGAAGAGTCTCTTTTCTTTTCTTTCTCACCCTTGTCACGATTTTTATTTTTCTTGCTTTTTTCATGTGTATCCTTAACTTTTACAAAAATTTCATAATCATCTTTTTCCTCTGATGATGATTCTGAAGCTCTTTCTGGTATACTAATTACAACTGGACTGGCAGCTGATTTGTCACGTTCAACTTCACTTGGAAGTAAAGGTCCTTCAATACCAGCCCTAAGGCTTGTAAGACGTTCCATGTCCTTAGGAAGTAATGGTCTCACTAAGTCTGCTTCATTAATTTCATCAATGTTAGCACAAAATCCTGAATCAGACACCACTTCTTTAGCAGGGAGAGATACTTCTTTATTTTCTCCACTCTCTTTAGGGCTAAGAGCAATTGGTAACGTCTGGTCACTCTCTTTTACAGATGTTTCTTCTGTATCCTTACTAACAAGATTAGATGGTAAATCAAGATGAATGTCTTTAGCAGGCAAAGGTCCCTCTATGTCAGCTTCACTAACACCACCAGGGCTGGTAGAAATTACCATGTCATGTTCAGTATCTTGAGCAGTTATAGAAATGTCATCATAATTATTAATTGCAGTGAGAGCAGATGCAGTGACAAACTCGATGCCCTTACTAGTGCCTGTTGTACCAGGTTCCAGAGCAAGAGGACCAACAGAAGACAGAGATCCTTCTACATCAGTTTCACTAACACCAGGGCAGGTATCCAATATTATACCTTGCTTAGTTTCACTGATGGGCAAAATTTTCTCTTCATCAATTCTATTATCATTATCGATGCTAACAATAGACACTGTATTACTTTCCATAGCTTTAGCAATTAAATGATTATTTACAGTAAGGTCTAAATTTATATCACGTTCACTTTCATAAGAGTCACTTTTCAGGTGTCCTTCAGCATGTGGCTCTTCACCTGAATGCAATGGATTCTCCTGTATACCAATCTCTGGAGCAAGATTTTGATCACAAGACAGTGAATTCATTCCTTTTGTAACATGTGACGATATAACACTAGATTCTGCTAGCACTGGTGTAGGCTCTAAAGCCATCTCAGTTGGTATTACTTGAGCCTGTTCTGAGACAGTGACAGCAGGCTCTGAGACAGTCACAGTATACTGCTGGACAGAAATGCATGGTTCTGAAACAGTCACAGCTGACTGAAGGACTGGTACTGCTGGTTCTAAGACAGGCACAGTAGGCTCAAGGGCAGAAACCACTGACACAGGAACAGTTACATACTCCAGCTCAGCCACACTTGGAGGCTCCAAAACAGCCACAGCTGGTGGTTCTGGCTTTTGAATGGCAGGTGGTTCTGGGGCAGTCATAGCAGGTGACTCTGGAAAAGGCATAGCAGGCGACTGTGGGACAGTCATGGCAGGCGATTCTGAGACTGGAACAGCAACAACAGGTGTCTCTGCAACAACTATAGCAGGAAACTCTGAGACAGCCATGGCTGGAGACGCTGGAACTGCCACAGCTGGCATCTCCTGAATGTTCTCTGCTGGCTCTGGAATGGTTACTGCTGGCTCCACTAGGGACATGGATACCTCTGAAACAACATGTCCTTCAAATTTCATGGACTCCAATGTTTCTATCGTCTCTGTTACAACTGGAGGCTCTGATGTTAACACAGTTGCTTCCGCTGATATGGGAGTTTCAGATACCATACAAGTCACCGGTCTCTCTGTAACTTCATTTTCTGCTGCTATAGCAGACTCAGCAGGTGTTGACGTAACTGAAGATTCTGGCTCTAGCGGTGGTTCTGGAATAGTTACAACTGCCTCTGACACTAACACTGAGGGCTCTGATCCCGACACTGAATAATTAGTAGGCACTGCTGATGGTTCTAAAATCTCACTTTGATCCACAGGCGGCTCAGGATGTGATACACTCTCCTCAGGAGGTAATGCTGGCATTTCTGCAGACCAAGTATTTTCAGTTGTCAATGCTGACTGCTCTGTGGGTAATGCTGAACCCTCCGGTGGTTCTTCTGGAGGCAACGGAGGAGTCATCGGTGGCTCCTCGGGTGGCAATGGTGGCATTGTTGGGGGCTCTTCAGGAGGCAAAGGTGGCACCATATATGCCTCTGTATACGTATCAGTGTAAGAATCAGTGTAAGAATCAGCTGCCATAGACATCATTGAACGATCAGCAGTGTAAGATGACATCATAGACCGGTCAGCTGCAGAGTACGATGACATCATGGACCGGTCAGCTGCAGAGTACGATGACATCATAGACCGGTCAGCACCCATAGACATCATAGATCGATCAGCCATTGGGGACATCATGGAACGCTCATAAGCTGACATCATAGAGCGTTCATAAGCTGACATCATAGAGCGTTCAGCCATGGGAGACATCATAGAGCGTTCATAGGCTGACATCATAGAGCGTTCATAAGCTGACATCATAGAGCGCTCAGCCATAGGGGACATCATAGACCTCTCATAAGACATCATAGAGCGTTCATAAGATGACATCATAGAACGTTCTGCAGCATAGGACATCATCATAGAACGTCTAGATGCTAACATCAGGGGTCTAGGTGCTAACCTATATGGCCTAGGTGCTATCCTGTAGGACCTAGGTGCTATTCTATAGGGTCTAGGTGACATCCTATAGGGATCAGGAGTTAGTCTGTAGGGATCATGACCTAATCTGTAAGGGTCCTGTCCTAATCTATAAGCATCATGACCTAACCTATATGGGTCATGACCTAACCTATAGGCATCCTGAGCTAACCGATAAGGATCCTGAGCTAACCTATAAGGATCAGGAGATTTAGAATCCAACATAGAAGAATCCTGGGTACTAGATGCTAACATCTGGGCATCCATGGTACCAGACGCTAACATCTGAGCATCCATGGTGCCAGAAGCTAACATTTGAGAATCCATAGTGCCAGATGCTAACATCTGGGAGTCCATGGAGCTGGTTGCTAACATCTGGGAGTCCATGGAGCTGGTTGCTAACATCTGGGAGTCCATGGAGCTGGTTGCTAACATCTGAGAGTCCATGGAGCTGGTTGCTAGCATCTGGGAGTCCATGGAGCTGGTTGCTAGCATCTGGGAGTCCATGGAGCTGGTTGCTAGCATCTGGGAGTCCATAGAGCTCGTTGCTAACATCTGGGAGTCCATGGAACTGGTTGCTAACATCTGGGAGTCCATGGAACTGGTTGCTAACATCTGGGAGTCCATGGTGCTAGAGGCTAACATCTGGGAGTCCATGGTGCTAGAAGCTAACATCTGGGAGTCCATGGTGTTGGATGCTAGCATCTGGGAGTCCATGGTGTTGGACGCTAGCATCTGTGAGTCCATGGTGTTGGATGCTAACATATGGGTCTCCATTGTGTTAGAAGCTAACATATGGGATTCTTGGGCCATCAAGGGATCCACGCCTACTGTTACAGAAGTCTCCCCAACTAATGTAGTAGGCAGCTCCTGTGCTACCGTATTATAGGATTCCAGCGCTGTCGTCGAGGGCACCTCCAGGGACTGCGACACGGTCATCGTGGACAGCTCCGATGTTGTCACCACAGACTGAACAGAGATCTCCAGCGCCACAGTTGCCACAGGCTGCCCAGGCAACTCTGGCGCCCCAGGCTGCCCAGGCAACTCCAGTACCCCTGTTGCCAGAGGCTGCCCCAAAAGCTCCAGTGCTCCAGCTGCCCCAGCCTGCCCCGAGAACTCCAGTGCCCCAGCTGCCATGAGCTGCCCAGGCAACTCTAGTGCCCCAGCTGCCACAGACTGCCCTGACAACTCCAGTGCCCTAGTTGCCGAAGACAGCCCAGGCAACTCTGGCACCCCAGTCACTGAAGGCTGCCCAGACAACTCCAGTGCTGTTGTTGCCACTGGCTGTCCTGGCAACTCCAGCACCATTGCTGCCTCAGGCTGCCCCAGCAACCCTGTTGCCGTTGTCACCTCAGGATGCCCAGGATGTTCCACCGCTGTCATCCCCACAGGCTGCTCGAACTCTGTCGTCGTCACAGGTTGTTCGGTCAACTCCATTGCTACTGTTACCGCAGGCTGCCCAGGCAACTCTACTGTTGCAGACACTGTTGGCAGCCCTGGCAACTCTTGTGCCGTCACAGGTGGCTCTGGTACCTCCTGTGGGGGCTCTAACCCCATAGATGGTGCTAGAGGCCCTGGCAATTCCTGCGACAACTGTGGCACTGGTGTCACAGAGGAGGGCCCTGGCAACTCAGGCACTGCTGTCGCAGGGGGCCCTGGCAACTCAGGCACTGGGGTAGAAAGGGGCCCTGACAACTCTGACACCAGGGTGGCAGAGGGCCCAGGTAACTCCAGCTCTGGAGTCACAGAGGGCCCCTGCAACTCCGGCATGGAGGTCGCAGGTGGCCCCGGTAACTCCAGCACTGAGGCCACCGACGACTCCGGCAGCTCCAACGCTGAGGTCTTGGGGGGCAGCTCCAGCAAATCCTGAGGTCTTGTCATGGATGGATCTGCAATCTCTGATGGTACAGGATGCTCTGGCAATCTTAGCACTTCAGTTGCAGATGACTCTGGAAAATCCTTTGTTGTCAACGTGCTTGGTTCAGGGTGCACCTCAGTAGATGTCTCTGCTATCACATGGGTTTCAGATGGCTCTAGTTCTTTCGCTACTGGAGGCTCAGCCAACATGCTCGTTGATGGCTCTGGAGATGTGTGCTCCAAAGACTTCAGTGCAGACTTCATCTGATACTCCACAGGCATTGTTGGAACTGGCTCAGATGACTTCAGCACTACTGCTGTAGGCACCGGTGCTGTTACAAAGGAATCCACAATCTTTGTCACAGATGGTTCCAATGTTAGTGCCATAGACTGCTCTGAGATTACAGATGAAGATCCAACTGATATTTCTGCAGTTTTTGTAGCTGGTTTCAGAGTTTCTAGGATGTGTGGATCTGATAACTCCATTGATGATATGGGAGGTTCTAGCCCAACTGCAGAGGATTCACTGGTCTCAGATAGGCCAAATGCTCTTATAGGATGCTCTAGTGCCATTGATGAAGGTTCAGAATCAAGCTTTAAAAAGGAATCAGACTCTAAATCTATGTTCCCATCATGATGAGACTTCAGCTTTGACTCAGATTCTTCTGGCTGTCTCTTATATTTTTTTTCCTTTTCTTTCTTCTTCTTCTTCTTTTTGTTTTTGTGCTTTTTATGTTTCTTTGCTTTTTTGCTGGGAATTTCATCTGTAGGATCTGTTTGTACAGATACACATCTACTTTTTCTGGAGGCCTCTTTCAAGTCTGAAAATAATGGAAATTATTTGGTCACACATTCCTCCAAAATACATGGAGATAAATCATCTAAACAAAAATTTTCACTCCACACTGAAAAAACAAACTATAATTCATCATATGTTAAAAGTTACTAATTAATACAGAGACTTAACACTTTTCCAGCTTCCTTTCTACAAATAAATTCCAGGGTAAAAACAAGTCTAAAAATAAGCCCACTCCTTAGCCAGGACTGATAGTATACACCTATAATCCTGGCACTCTGGAGGTTGAAGCAAAAGGATTCCATGCTGGAAGCCAGCTGGACAGCTAAGACAGTATCTCCCTCCCTCACAAAATAAAACACACACCAAAAATAATTTCTTAATTTGTTACAGAAACTTTTTTTAAGTTTTTTGAGATAGTCTATGAAGCCCAGGCTTGCCGTGAACTCATGGCAATCCTCCTGCCTCAGCCTCCCCAGTGCTGAGGTTACAGGTGAAAGGCACTACAACCAAAAGTCAGGTACACAAAAACTTTTTGAATGACATTAGGATGTGTTCTAGGGGCCCAGAAAGACAGTTCAGTGGCTTAAGCGTCAGCCTTACAAGCACTAAGTATCAAGTTTGATCTCTGGTACCACAAAAAAAAAAAAAAAAAAAAAGGAAATGAAAGAGATGAGTTTTAGAGCTAGGAATGTAGCTCAATGTTTGAGTACTTGCTAGTGTGCACAATGCCATGGAATCCAAACTCACCAAAAAAAAAAAAAAAAAAGGTAAATCCTATTAAAATGACAGCTTTTCCATTTCTGAAATTATACTGAATTATTTTCAAATTAAATTTATCAACAAAAACATTTCATATTGTTGTAACTTCTACCAAAATTTCCAACATTACATCAGACTGGCCTTGCACTCACTATGTAGCCCAGGTTGGCCTCAAACACATGGTGATCCTGCTGTCTCAGCCTCCAAGTGCTGGGATTACAGGCCTGTATCCCCATGCGCAGCCAATTCATCATTTAATAGATGAATAGCCCTGGCCAAGTTACTGACATGCTGTAGAGTTAGAAGACACATAAGTACATAAAGCACACAGAACAATGCCTAGTTCATAGTAAGCTCTCAGCAAATGTTATTACTTCAAATATACATGCAAGTATTTGTCAACAGATGTTCTATGTCAGCACGCACTCAAATTACACCTTATCATACTGTGCTATATCCTGATAAAAACATCTTTTTCTAAAGCATTCTTCTAAATTACTGGGGCTGGGGAGATGGCTCAGTTGAATAAGCGCTTGCCTGACAAGCACAAGAGCCTGAGTTCAATTCCAGCTCTGCCCAAAAAAAAAAAAAAATGTGACCTTCTAAATTACTAATAAGCAGGAGTGAACTTCATATCCCTTGATATGTAACCTAACATTTCAAGGCAGGGCAGCTCAATAGTAGAGTACTTGCTTAGCACATGTAAAGTCCTAGAGGTTTGAGTTCCAGCTAAAAAAATAAATAAACAAGTTTCAATTCACTTATGCTAGAGAAGTTACATTCTACTTACAATAGAATTTACCTTAATGCTAACAGTAAATCAGATAAATCTTAGTGAATCCATAAAAGGCAAATCAGATATTTTGACCATCAAAATGAACAAATACACATATTAAAGACTCCATATACCACAGAAGAAAAAGACAAGTACATGATTCACATTTAATAAGAATACGTACCTAACATACATAAGGTCCTAGGTTCTACACCCCCGACCCCCAAAAGAGCAGGCTGAGGCAATAGGATCACTTGAGATGATTCTGAGCAATATAGTGAAACAGATCCAACCTGGACAATACAGTCAGATCTCATTGCAAAAAAAAAAAATTAAAAAATAGATTGTGAAGAAAACCAATATAGGGGCAGATATAGCCCAACAGTACAGCACTTGTCTGCAAGCACAAGATCTTGTCATGAGCCCAAAGCCCAGTACCAAAAAAAGAAAAGCAGGATGTGATGGTACCCTACATGTAATCCCACCACTCAGGAGGCTAAGAGAGGAAGATCTTCAATTTGAGAGCTAGCCTAGGCTCCACAACAAGTTCCAGGCCAGTCTGAACTACACAGCAAGATCATGTCTCAAACAAAAAAAAAAAAAAAAAAAAAAAGAAAGAAAAAAGCAAGAAAAACCAACATATGAAAGGACACATGCCAAAAACAATCTATCCACTGTATATACAAAGTTACTCCAGCCAGGGATACAGCTCAGTTGCACAGCACCTGCTCAGCAAGCACAATGTCTTGGGTTCAATTCCCAGTACCAAAAATAAAATAAAGCATTATTCCATAACATCAAATGTCAAGTTATACCCAAACAAAAAAATTTATTAGAATCAGAAATCTAAGCAAGGCTAAACCAGGGTGGGGAGAGGAAAACAGAATGAACCATACAACTAATTCCTGAACTAAATGAAGACAATGGTCTATATTTATATTTAATCATAAATCCTTCACACTTAAATATCATTTAATCATTTCCAACAAAGCTACATATCCAAGTAAAAACTTTCATTGTGCTTTTAAATGGGATGGATGTAAAAACAAGACAATCTCTAAACCTAGGTTTTTGTTTCTGTCTTTTTGAGACTGGGTTTCACCATGCTGGCCCTAAACTCAAAATGATCCTCCTGCATCAGCCTTCCAAGTGCTGGGATTACAGGCATGCACCACCATACCTGGCCAGCCTGGGCTTTAAAAATAAACCACATATGGTATGTTTTAGAAATCATTACATATTTGGTCCAAGCTACTGAACTTTCCCAGAATTTACTACTGTTCAATGAAAATGAACATGACGTAGGGAGGTCCTATCGTAAAAAGAGAACCCACATTCAAAAACCTTAGCACTCTAACATTACAAAACTGAAATAGTCAAAAACTATATTCTACCACCAAAGCAAAAAATATGATCAATGCTCACTCATTTCATAATTGTTTTCAAAGGAGTATTTAATGAAGTTTCCGTAAATTAATCACAACATAAATTTTAAAATAACCTTCAAATTTTTAAAAATTTTGAGAATAACGATTATTTCCAAATTACCTGGCTTGTATCGTAGTTCTGTATCTAGGACCCCAGAAAGTACTTCTTCTATCTTCTGTACTATTTCTTCATTTGGTAAGTTCCTGGCAGAGGCAGCAGCATCACCTGCCTGGTTTCCTTCAACTGGTGTATTTGTTTCACCATTCAGCTGGCCTTCACTCCTTCCACTTGACAAAAAAATTTTTCAAAATGTATTACTATTTTATCATACCACATAAGTCCTAAAGTCACTTTGATAACCTAACCCATATAACTTTACACTGTATTATATTGTCCATACATTTCATCTTTTCACTGTTTCAGATGTTTGCCATTAGCAAACATCTTTTTTACACAACTTGTCAAAACTGTGGAAGCTAAAAGAACACTTTGAAAAACAGATTTCTAAGCACAACCTTTTTCAAATAATTCCAGAAACCTAACTTGAGAGTTTTGGTTATCTGTGTATTTGTCTCAAGGATAGAGACCAATTACAAATCCCAAGAAAAATAGTGACCTAACACTGTGGTAGAAACTATGGCCACAATAAAGCCACACCTGTGCACAGATCACAATCACAGTTTCAAGGAACATGGTACTCTGCCGCAGAAAAGGTAACTTGTAGCTTCTATTGTTTTACACTACTACAATATCACAAAACTTAAAAGTATTTATATAATTTATATCTTACTATAAGAAATCTAGACATTAAAAAAAATGTTTGATGGACCAGGCATGGTGGCATATGCCTGTAATCCCAGCACTGGGGAGCCAGAAGCAGTAAAATCTTGGAGCCAAGTTCAAGGCCAGCCTAAGCTAGATACATAATGAGGCTTGCCTGAACTATACACATCAACACTGTCTCAAAAAAGTCTGATGTTCAAAAAACTTCACATATAACAAGTGACCATCCATGCTGTCAGCTTAAAATATTTTCAATTCAAAAGGCCAGAAGAATTCTAACACAGAGGGAAAAAAACCATGCCATCCATGTAGTAATTTTTATTGTTTTCATGCAAACCTTCAAATTTTCAAAAGAATTTCAAGAAAACACATAAGCTGGGCATGATGGCACACATCTGTAATCCCAGAACTTGAGAGGCGGACACAAGAAGACCATTGGAAAGTTCAAGGCCAGAATGGGCTACAGAGTGAGCTCAAGGCCAGCCTGAACTTCATAATGAGACCCTATCTCAAAACACACACACACAAAAAAAAAAAAAACATAAAATTTACATAATTTTAACTTCAATTTTTGCTAACAGAAACACTTAACTGAGAAGTCAGGAATGTAAAAAAAAAAAAAAATTCAGTAGTTAATTAAGAAACATTCGATTTTCTCTAATAAAAGGAATTAACCAGTAAATACTGAGCATTACTGAGCATTAGTGTCATTATTGTACTTTTAACAATATAATCAACAAAACTTAAAATCATTAGTTATTTTATAAATGACGAAATGCACAGAAAAGATAAAATGAGCTGAAACCCCCATAGCTACTAAAAACTGGTAAATTCAAAACCATAGCCTTAAACACAACTATATATAATAGGCCACTTATTTATCTCTAACAGTTACCCTTATTACCAACAATGAATACAAAAACAGGTGAGAAAAGGAAAAAGTAGCTCACTGAAACAGCAAATTTATAGTTTTAGACCGAATGATAATCCTCTTAAGTTTATCTAGTAAATCTCCTTTGTCTAATACCTTTTTAAGACTTTCTTTACAGAGTACTCACAATTTTCCTCAACATTTACACATACATGATTTTCAGGAACTTAAAAAGCAGAGAAGTAACATCAAGAGCATTAATCGTAATTAACGAAAAGCAATGAAAATTTCAAATCACCTACATATACCCAACAATATATTCCTATAAAAAAGAATTTTACGCAGCGATGGAAAATGTCTGAATATAAAAACTGTAGCTGGACAAATCTGTTCACAATGGTATACGTTGAAAAACAACCAATATAAAATGAAATGATCACAAATAGTTTTTTAAAGTCTGTGGGTTTGCGAAGGAGAAAATGAAAGGATATGTAACACCAGTAACTGGTAGTTTTTGCTTCTTCATAGTTTCTAATTTTCTTCAATAAAAAGTACTAATTTTCTGTTTTATAAGTCATAAAATCAATTACAGGAACTATTAAATAAATGCAAATAATTAAAAGGTTTAAGGAAAATTATATTCCCCCAGCTCAGGTCTCATCCTAAAATCACTAAAAATAATTCAAAACGTAAAAAGCAACTCTGTGAGTGGACTACTTCCCACTTTAAAAACATCATATCCTGCAAAAACGAAAATTCTAGCAAGAATACATCAGTGCCCCAATATCCCTATGTTAATTCGGGTAACTAATTTACAATTACATGTTCAGCTGGTTAACAAGTGAACTTTGCACGTAACTCCCAACTTTTAAAAAAGTTGGTAAAAATAAATGAAACTACAAGTATATACTTTCCAATATCCTTTCCTACCTCTAAACTTTACAAACCAAAAATAGTAAAAAACAATCACTTTAATAATACACACAACTTCCTTTCTGAGTAAACAAAACACTGTAATGTGGGTTACATGGAGCCCAAGGTTTAACCTACGTAAGTCTACCAGCAATATCAAAAATATCAAGTTCTACTACTCACAAAGTCTACTTTCCACTTGATAAATTAAATAATCATTAGTATTTCAAAGTTCCATTCTCCTCTCACGTATTTCATGAAGTGGAGAACAGCAATTTGAGGTGTTTTAATTTAAATCTCTAAACTATCAGAATGCTGCTGACTGGAATCACAGGACGCAAGGCCTGAAAAACATCATTAATTAATCCCGACCCCTAAACATTGTGAAGCCACTAATAAGAAAGGTGATTTAAGATTAGCCAAGAAACAGTCAGTCGGTAGAGACCCTTTCCGGTCACAGACACCGGCCGGCGACAGCCGCGGAGGCGGAGAGGGGGAGGGGAGAGGCGGCGGCGGAGGAGGAGCCGAGAGGGAGGAACTAGGCCCGGCGCCGATGGACAACCAGGCCTACTAGTAGCGAAGGATAAGATAGTACAAACGAGAGAGAAAGGTGAGCATTTTAACTCGGTTCAAAAGGAAGGGGCCTACGACTACTAAGGGAAGGACCAGTTTCTCGGGCGAAAGAGAAACAGCGGAGGGAAGATGGGGGGGGAGGGCCCAGAAAATGGAGCCCAGGCCCAGGCGGGGCCGTAGCAGGGCCTGAGACGAAGAACGACGGCGTCTCCGAAGAAAGGCGCCAAAGAAGGGTAGACGGGGTGAGAACGGCCCTTTGGGAGCAGAAAGACCCGCGCGGCATTTACCTGGAAAGCTCCTGTTGTATTTCCCGGAATTTACTGACCACGAAAGACCTAAAAACCTGCTCGATGTCGGCCGCCATGGCGTCCGCTCCGTTCTCTCAACTCCTCCTCGCTAGTCCTCCAGGCTCCCAGCATGCGTCGGGAGAAGGCGCAGCGGCCAATTCCTTTTCTCGTCTTTCTGATTGGTTCGCCTAGGAGCGTCAGGGCCGGCACGCTCCTACTATAAGCCAATCAGCGAACACGGCCCTCCTCTCCTCTGCTGTTTCCGAGCTGCTTGGGTAGAGGTGCTGACGTTTGCGCCGCGCACGGCTGGGTCCGCCATGTTAGTGTCTGACGCAGGCGCCATTACAGAAGTAGCTGTTGAGACGACTTTGGATTTTGGCTTCTAGAACTGTTTCAGAGCCCTTGGAGGCTTGATGTTAACTAAGCGCGTGAAATTAAAGGCCATGAGAAACAGAAGCAAAACACGGCCACGTGGTGTTTGACACAAGACCTCGAAGCATTTGTTAGTGGCTACCAAATTGTTTTGTCGGGGACAAGGCGTATGGGAAAGATCAGCCCCCGTCCACACAATAACGTTAATCAGAATCCATTTTTATCCCGTCGTCTCCTATTGTCGGCTTCATTTTTTCAGCAACAGGCCGTTGGTCCTGAGCGACTTGTGTTCAAAGCCCGGTCAACCCTAACTCCTTAGCTTCGCGCAACTGGCCGGGCGTGGCTTGGGCGCTGCTACTCCTGGAAGCGCGGGAGGCTGCGAGGACAGGAATGGAGACGTTACGTGGCACCGGGCACTACAGTGCCACCTTATAAACGTGCCAGGGATTCAGCGGTTTTCCTGGGGCGCCGGCTCAGGCCGCGCCCAGGCATGGGCGGGAAGGTGGCCCACAGATCGCCTCCCCGAGGACCCGGTCGGGCCAATGGGGAGGGGCGGCCGCCGAGGGGCGGGGACGGCGGCGGAGGCGGAGGGCGCGCGCCGGATCCCCGGGGCCCACTTCCGGCGAGCGGCGATAGCCAGCAGCGTGGCGGCGCGGGCTGTGTGTGTAAGCTCCCCTCGCGTCTGAGTAGACAGCGTTTGTGCCTTGCTGGGGGGTGGGGAGGGGGTTACCACCAGCATTTGAGTGGAGCTGTAGGAACCGCCTGGGCGGTGTGCACGTCCTGTGGGTGGGGAGCTGCCGTGTGCTTGCTTTTCGCCGTTAACCACGGTTGACATGTGAACTGTCCCTTCCACGCTTTATCTGCTCAGTCCTTTGAGATGGCTTTGCTTGGCGCTTCTTTTCTCGCTGTAAAGCATCCCCTCGAATCACCAAACCTGGAGGTCAGTTAAGTTTCCCAGGGCTTCTCGGCTAGTAAAGAGACTTACTTAAACCGTATTGTGCCTCGAGCCGGGCCACCTCGCTCTTGTCGTGGTCGAGTTCTTGTGCTGCTGTCCTTTGACCTGTGAGGAAAACCTTCCTGCTCTGCTGCTCTTCTTAAACTACATACGTTATATTTTCTGTAGAATTAAAGATCCTTGTTTTCAGGTCGTTCGGTACGCATGCCGTGTTTAAGTCAGCTGCTTTGGATAACTGCTGCTTTTGAGACTAATTTAGCGGGTTTTTTCTTTCCTCAAAATAATTCAATCTCCATCGTCTCAGTTGTTGCGACTATCTATAGCAACATATCTTCGGTTGGAATCCATTGACTATATGACTTGTCCAGCAGGTCATAAAGTTTAACTGGGTTTCCATTTCATCCATAAAATAACAGTGGCAATATTTCAGTCTATCTCATAGAATTTTTAGGAAGACAAGAGCAGGTAAGATTTCAAGAAAGGTATTTAGTGTGGCACCTAGCACAAGGTAAGCTCAAAAATGTTAGGAAGCTACGGATTTCGGTTTTCTGTTTCCTGTTACCAGCCGGCTTTCCGCTAATTAATAGCTTTTGCAAATTAGTAAATCAATGTGACTTTATTTATACTCTCTTGGCTGTGTGTATGTGTGTGCATGTGTGTGTGCGCGTTGGAAATTTAATCTTGTTCATACTAGCCAAGCGCTCACCCTCAGCCTTTTGTCTTTTTAATGTAATGACTTAATAACTGATTTCCATTGTTTATATTTTCTATATTTATTTCCACTGTTTCCATCATTTTTATCCGGAAAGTATCAATTTAGGTAAAAGGCTTATAAAACTCTAGGTAACAGATTTTTATAAATGTCATTTCGGTTCACCAATGAGATGCTTTCAAATTTGATTTTTATTTTCTCTACCAGGACTTTACATATGGATGGATGGCTCCGTGCCGGATCATCTACCATCTGCTTTTTTTGTTTGTTTGAACAGCCCAACAAATAACAGTTGAAGAAAAAAAAATTTTTTGAGGCAGTCTTGATGTGTAATTTAGGCTAGCCTTGAACTTATTTTGTAGCCCATGCTGACCTGCAACTCACAGCAACTCCTCCTGCCTCAGCCTCCTGAGGGCTGGGATTACAGATGTATGACACCATGCCCAATCTTATCACATGTGACAATTGCCATATTCACACAGTTTTATTGAAATATAACATACTTATTTTATTAAAAACTGGTGCTTTCCTTTTGCTTAGAAGCCTCATAGGCAAATGATCTGTAGGGTGCTGCCTGTTTCATGTTAAGTTTTTGTGGACATTGGCACATTCATCCCCTAGTATATTCTCTAAGACTCCTTCCATGCCACTATAGAGTTGACAGTAGTTTGGACAGAGCACGTTGCCATCACATCAGAATACTCTCTGGCTCTTCACGAAGTGAGTTCAAGGCCATCCTGAACTACATAGTAAGACCCTATCTCAAAATAAATTTAAACTGTCATCGCTGGGTATGGTGGCACATTCCCAAGTATTCCATAGGCTGAGGCAGGATCATATGGTTCCAGGAGTTTAAAGACAACTGGGGCAACACAGTAAAATATCCTTGGATTGGGGCCAGGGAGATGGCTCAGTGGAATAAGCGCTTCCCTGGCAAGCACAAGGGCCTGAGTTCAATCCCTGGTTCCGCAAAAAAAAAAAAAAAAAAAATCCTTGGATAACTGTCAAGCGAGGGTAGGGGCTTTTTTATTTTTTGAGACAAGGTCCTGCTGTATGGTCCCAGCTGGTCTTGAACTCACTGTGTAGCCCATGCTGAGCTTGAGTTTCCATCCCCCTGCCTCACCCTCTCAAGTTCTGGGATCACAGGCATGGGCCACTACACCCAGTAAGATTTTTTTTTTTTTAAACTACATTTTGTTAATCTAATAAAGAAGTTGGTAAGGAGGATTGGTATGAGTTCAGACCAGCCTGGGTTCAAGGCCAGCCTGAATTGAATAGTGAGACCCTGTGTCAATAAAACAAAAAATACCTAAATTTAAAATAAAAATGAAGCCAGGCAAAGGATATTGTTTGCACTATTTCCCAAGTAGGCAACTGCTTTAATAAGTATTCTGTGCCTATAACAATGTTATATAGACTGGGCATATAATAAAAGAAAGATTCAGTTTACACTCCTCAAGAGGTAAGGTCAAGGGACTCTATCTAGTGACTAAATTCTTTTGGCAAATTTCACGTAGATGGCAAAATTTTTCCTCTTCACTAACCACCAAAATACAATAATGGGATATAGACCATAACACCTACCTCGCAGAGCCCACCCCAATGCAAACTTTCTGTTTCCTTTTTTTTGAGTGCACAGGGAAGCCTCGCTTTCACTCTATTGCTCAGGTTGGCTTGGAACTCAAAGATCCTCCTGTCTCCAACGCCCAAGTGCTGGGATTATAGCCGTGATCCACCAACACTAGCTTATTTATGTATTTGGTATAGGGTCTCACTGCACAGCTCAGACTCCTAGTGATCCTCCTGTTTTTAGCCTCCCCAGCACTGGGATTACAGGCATGTGCCACCATATCCAGCCTCTGCTCTGGTTTTGAAATAAGCTATCTTGGGGCCAGAGATATAGTTCAGTAGCACGAACACCTGCCTGACAAATGCAACATACTGAGTTCAGTTCCTGGTACCCAAAAAAAAAAGTATGACTATAATCATATTTCTCAAATTACAAATCCCAGTTTTTTTAAAAACGAATTGCTGGGCCGGGGAGATAGCTCAGTAAAATAAGCGATTGCCTGGCAAGCGCAAGGTCTTGAGTTCAATCCCTGGTACTGTAAAACAATAAATAAAAAATTGCTAGGTAGAAATGTCAGATGATTTCTTAACTCTTAGAAATTGTGATTTCTGAAATATATGCATTCTGAAATAACTGGGTTTTTTTCTGCAGGTGTCATCTTCCTTTTGAATCCTTGCTTTGCAGACAGTCATGGCAGCCCGAGTTCTTGTAATTGGCTCTGGAGGAAGGGAACATACCCTAGCCTGGAAACTCGCACAGTCTAATCATGTCAAACAAGTGTTGGTTGCCCCAGGAAATGCAGGCACTGCCTGCTCCGAAAAGATTTCAAATACTGGTAATCTTTTTTTTTGTTTGTTTTTGGTAATCATATTTTCAAGTGTGAAATAATAATTATTGTTTGTGAATGATAAACTGCCAATAGCATGTGATTTTATAACACAGGTAGAATGCTATTCAAGTTTGGATATTTTTCCTTTAAAATTTATGGGGGCTGGTGAGATGGCTCAGTGGTCTAAAGCACCTACTTAGTACAAGCTTAGCAAAGCACAGGGACTGCGGTTCAATCCCCCAGCACCACATGCCAGCCAGCCCTACCCCCTGGTGGGCTGAGCTGGCCCCATACACATACACACACACACACACACACA